AATTTCCAATAATCATCGAACATTTCATTTCACAATCATGCGGAAGACTTTGTTTTCTTGAAAAAAAAAAAAAAAATCACATAATTCTCGCATAACTTTATAAAATATAAAAAGAAGAATCATGTATAAATCATGCATAAATCATAGTGTTTCGCACGATAAATGTTTGTATTCGGTGAGAAAAAAGTAATAATAATTAATACAATTTATATAGAATAAAATAAAAGAAATTACACATTTATTTGAATTATGAAATAATATGTTTGGGTGTCATTGTCATTCTTATTTTTATGATTATTTCAGCGTATTATAAGGATTTGGCTTTTATTTACTACAAATTTTGCTTTACTTCATATTATTTACGACCTTCAATGAAATAAGGTGATTTATATCAAGTTCTACAAGATATTTTACCCTGTACAATCGTGTTCACATTACAAGCGGGTTATGAGAACTATTCGAATAAACTTGAAATTTATCGTTAATATCTTCTCGCTCGTGAGATACATTTAAGCGCGTAGATACGATTTCCAAATGAAGGAAATTGCTTAATAAAGATAATTTTTTACTGCGCTTCAATTCAAGAATCAAATCAATCCTTGGAAAATTTCATTATCTTAATGAGAGTTCTTTTACACGCAAACCATAAGCACCTAATAGTTTATGTATGAAAATCGTTTCGTTTTAAAGCTACAGCCACATACAAAGCTATAATGAATATTATTGAGATTAAAGATTTTGTGATTATATGCGCTAAAAATCTCTAACGCAATCTACCCTCTATAATTGATCGTAACTTACGTTTGAACATTGGAAATACATAGTGCAACTGTCAGTCATCGTCATCAATTTATTATTACTCTGTACTACTACCCTTTGTAATATTAATTCGAATACTCTAATAGGGAGAGACCCGAGGGCGCAATACATTAATCCTACGTCCCACATAACATGATCAACAAGTGTGATAATTGACATTTAAAATCGGCAGCTCCGAATTTCACTGTGAATAATCATCTGAAAAAAAGAAAGAAAAAATGCGCTCCCGTGAGCAACAGTTTTTAATCTCCCGCATTATTTACGAGAAGGTCGGATGCAACGATAATGGAGTAGTGGCTGCATAAAGCAGTATCCAGCTGTTCTTTAGTGCAGCTCCGGATATGTTGGCCTCTTTATAGGGAAGTGATGCTGGCGTTGCCGGCAGTAGTAACAATAGTATCAAGTCGGTCATGGTCTTGGATCTACTATTGGCGCTGGGGATTCTCGGTTGATTATTTGCGGCGTGCCGGATACAATTGATTGATCACCGGCTGGCTGAGGCCTCACTTCCATGACATTGATTACTAATAGATCGATTTGGAAGGGTAGGGACGTTTCGGGCCGAGTCTACAGGCAACACGTTTTTTCTCCGTCGGCGAACGTGACGAGCCCCAGGGATAGATAAAATACTTTAACGCTAATGAATTTGTAATATATTGTGATTCGCAATTTGCGAGCTTTCATTATACGCTGCTTTTTCATCTGTAAATTAATTCTCCAACGTTCCGTGATTAACTGCCGGAGCGTTTGTTGGCAATGAATATTTTTCACGTATTACCTGCTTGACTTTATTTTCCTGTTTAACAACTAATAAATATTATAATAGTAGATATTCTAGCATTCTCCATTGGCTACATAATACGCAATAGATCATAAAATAATGTGCCACTTCTACAATTATTCGATCAGTAGTACGTGTAAAAGTGCTTGTCTACTGCAATATTATTTACCGAATATCTCACGTACTATCGCCCATTACTTTTATTATTAACATAAACTACAACAAGGCAATCAATAATCCGAATAAAACATAAATACAAAAAGCAAACACATTACCACTTAATTAATGAATAGAAATAGCCTTTGACATATGATTCTGTTATGATTTTTCGCTGGCGACGGGAGCGTACGTATTGTATTGTCGGACGTAATTGTTCATTTCAGTCGGCAAATAAGCGAAAGAAGAGAAACGTTTTTACCCTACGTATGGAATTAATTTTTCAAATTCTAGAAGCACTTGTGATTCTCCTAGCTTTTGCCATTCATAATCATACACTCGTGTAGGCTTCTATATCATGCGCTCCTCAACTCGTGACTTCAACCTGTCATAATGAAACTCAGCCCCATAGTCCTCATACGTGGCGGCCTCTAGTACTTAACGATTCAGCTGACAATCATCCCAAATGAGAATAATTATTATTCATAAACCTAACTAGAGAGAACCTAGCTCTTGTAGCGGAGCCCTCGGCCCTCCTGCACGCATATGTGTATCATCAAACAATGGTGCCCTAGTGCTTACGAACACGTACTTGACATTTCGTTTTCGTCCCTCCACGCACACCTTCCTTTGATAATTGAGGCACCGAGACACCGTTCACGTACGACTCTGACAAACGAAATTCTATCGTTTCTCCGCTCTTCGCCACCGCCCTTAACATTCCCCCCCCCCCCCCCCCCCTCA